TGTGGCCCTCTCAACAACAGAGGTCGAATACATCGTTGTGACTGGAGCAATCAAGGAAGCTATGTGGCTAAATGGCATGGCTGAAGAGCTTGGGATACATCAGAAGGTGATAATTGTGTTTTGCGACAACCAAAGCACCATTCACCTAACCAGAAATCAGGTATTTCATAAAAGATCCAAGCATATAGATATAAAACTTCATTTTGTGAGGGATGTCGTTGCCAAGAGTGAAGATACCTACTGAAGAAAATTTTGCTGATATGCTCACGAAGGTGCTACCGACAGCTAAGTTCAGACACGGTCTGGACTTAGTAAACTTCACCAAGGGTTGAGGCCCTCTCAGGGGCCAGGTGGAGGGAATCTTTACTTCGAAGCTTCTCAATTGAGGGTCAAGGTGGAGAATTGTTATTTTGACCCCCAATTAATGAACTAAGGTAAAAGGGCAATTTTGTAATGTGGCTCCGCCACCTACCACATCTCACCTACCGCCCACCTACCTCCCACCTACCTCCCACCTACCACTCTCTTGCTTCTATAATAGAGAGGATGTGAGGCCTAGGAGTGCAAGGGAAGAGATTTTGAGCTACCACAAATGAGGAGATAATAGCTAGAGAGCTAGAGAGGAGGAGAGCATCTTGAGACATTGTATCAATATGTCACTTGAGAGGGAGGCCATAGAAGGAAGATGAGGGCTCATCTCTATGTATAAGCTATGTATTCTCCATTTCTTTTGCCTTAGTGAACTATTTGATTGATTTCCTCCCGTGGACGTAGATCCAGTTGGATCAAACCACGTAAACGATCTGTGTTTGCTTGTGTTCTTTGCGTTTCATTTTTATGCCAGCAAGTACATATCTCACAACATAATGCTTGATGGCCATGGATGCCACCACCAGTAGGTGCCAATTTCCTGCAGGAAAATGAGGGCTCAATGGCAGAGGCAATTCGTGGCGGTGATTAGATGAGGAGGAAGGTGACGGTGGCTAGAAATAAGAGCGAATGTTATGTGTGGTGAGTGTACGTCCGTTGTGTGATACACGACGGCATGGCTACATCAGGACACCACACGTAATATTTTCTTTAGAAATGGAAGTAGGAATCAGGTGATTGTAATAAGAAATGATTATTGAATTGTGATTAATACTAATAACTATAGTTTTAATCATTATTATTGTAATAATATTTTCTTTAGAAATGGAAGTAGGAATCAGATGATTGTAATAAGAAATGATTATTGAATTGTGATTGATACTAATAACTATAGTTTTAATCATTATTATTGTACACGATTATGAATTCTCACCACTTATTTTTTTTTTTAGGTAGCATGTTGTAGTAATTTAAATATTTGTGATTGCTAAGTTCTTAGAACCTGACAAGTTTTAAATTGACCTAAGAAAATGGCTTTTAAAAATAATTTAAACCGTCCAAAATTCTAGGTCAAACGAGTGATTTTGACCGTTGAACGCTGAAAATTGCTGGTTTGACCTTCGATTTTGGGAGTTCTAAATTTTCTTTTTTAATGTTTTGTATTTATATGATATATTTGGTTGACATATGATTACCTTGATCTGTATATGAATTGTTAGTTTTTAGTCATTAAAAATTATTTACATATGTTTAAGTTTTGTTATAATATTTTGGGGCATTTAAATACTTGCTTTACAATATTTATTAATTTTTTATATCTAACATCCAAAATTTAATATTTAAATTTATAGCACCCAATTAAATATTTCGTATTATTAAAAAAATACAACCATTCTAATTTTTTTTTTTTTAATATGAAACACTTTTTGCCATGCATAGAATAATAAATTATCATCTGAGCGTCGCATAATAATTCAACACACACTCAAATAACAAAAAGTGATATGCAAAAACACCAGATACTTTCACGTGGAAAACCCAGAAAGGAAAAAAAAACACTGGATTTGATCGACTAATTGAAATAATGCACTATGCGTCGGTGATTACACGTACATGACATTATCCTACAAGGCGAAAGTTTTACATGGTTTCTCAAGTTATAACGGTTTTGCACATAAGAGTTTGTTGCCCCAAAATATGGAGCATTCATAACGGTGAGCAGTTGTTGGGGCTTCGTTACACCGTCTTCAAGGTTGGTATGACATTTGACATCATGTGCTGCTCCATAGGATGTTTCGTGACTTTGCAGTATCAGTTGTTACTTTCTCTTCACAACACAAATCTTGACTTCGAGTTAGAGGTGAGTGATGGTGGTCGATGGTGGCCAGCAGGTGGTGGTTGATGGTGGTTGCCGGATCTTTGATTCAGAAGCAATGTTGTACTTAAGCTTATTCTCCAAGCCTCAATTTGCTTCCGGTACAATGTCTAGGTCTCCTCTAAAGAGATAGGTGAGACTATATTTATAAAGTCTCTGAGAGGTTTCGTACGAATAAGAAATAAATTTGGATCACTCCATTGGATGACATTTAATGAGCATTTATATGTCTTAACGATACATAATTAGGCGATCTTGAGCTCGTTGACGCTCGATCTGACTATAAGTTTGTCAGATGTAGAATATGTTTGACCTTTCACTTATATATTAAAAGTTTCTAAAGTAGTTTAATGACTACATCTAAGTTTGGTTTGACTTCATTTGAACCATTTTTTATGTTGTTGAGTCTTTCGCGTCGAGTCAATCAGTTTGATTAAAATTTTGCAACAAAATAGAGTTCTGATTGATTTTTAATTGAAGTCTGCATGTTTTTTACTCCAAAAATTATCTGGGGCTTCAGACCACGCCTCCAAATACATGCCTAACAGTGAAAATTAGTTGATGGCTCATCAAGAAGAATTAACAAAAACTAAATAACTCACATTAATTGCTATTAAGGTGCTATGATGATGCCGGTGATCCAAATGCACGTGAGCAACAGAAGTGAATTACGTAGATGGAGCACCAAACAGTATTTATGAAGCTGCCATGAAAGTTGGAGAAGCTCTGCAACAATTTACAATGTAAGTAATATTTGGCTACATGCAAATGGACACACAGCAATCAAGTCCTTAACCACTCTACGCTCGTGATTCTCAGCTATCCCTCCTCACTTTAAGATGGCAGGAAACAGTTGAGCCGCATTGAATTCGACCAAACCAGCTCCGTGGAGTACTTTATATATTGCTTTCTCCCTCCTAAAATTAGTGAATCACAGAGCAACATAAACGAAGAAGACAAGTGTTGTTTTGTGTGGCTGATGAGATGAGTTGCTGTAAATGGGCAAAAATGGCGATGTTGTTGATTTTGGGTTGTTTGAGCGTGAGAAGCTTTGGGAGGGAGCTGTTGAGTGGGGATGAGGAGAAGCAATTGGGGCTGGCTAAGGGAGGAGGGTTAGGGTTTGGAGGAGGTGTCGGAGGTGGTGGTGGGTTTGGGAAGGGGGGAGGGTTGGGAGGTGGGATTGGCAAAGGAGGTGGTTTTGGTGGTGGTATTGGGAAGGGAGGGGGTTTTGGTGGGGGGATTGGTAAGGGAGGAGGTTTAGGCGGTGGTATAGGGAAGGGAGGAGGGGTTGGTGGAGGTGGGGGATATGGGAAGGGAGGAGGGTTAGGTGGAGTTGTGGGAAAAGGTGGGGGCTTTGGAGGGGGGATAGGGAAAGGTGGAGGCTTTGGTGGTGGGCATGGTGGGGGAGCCGGAGCGGGTGGTGGGTTTGGCAAAGGATGGGGAATTGGAGGCGGATTTGGCAAAGGTGGTGGTTTTGGAGGAGTTGGTGGCGGCGGGGG